ATTTGGGATATCTTTCTCCATCAAGGGAAAGTCATAGGGACATATCATAACGTTTGGAATCATTTCTTTTGCCGGGTGGTTAGCTAAGTGACCAAAAGCCAATGGATTTCTCCTCTCAAGAATCTCTTTTGCTTTACCTGAACCTTGGAGTGGCTTGCTCAACACTTTCCATAACCTGTCTGAACCGTTTTCTGCGGTTTTGGTGTTTGCTACGACCGGAGGTGTGTAGGAACCAGTCCATACTTCCCTAGATTCTCCCCCGAGACCCCAAGGCTGAGCGTTTATCACAGTTCCATCGTACCTTGTGATGAGATATGAGTTCTGTGAATCAACCTTCGGATACCCGGGAATGTACCTGTAGAAAGCAGGAGAGTAAATAACTCCAGGGTAAAAGGCTAGGACAGTTCCAACATCTGCTTCGCCTTTGATGAAACAACCTTGACCAGCGTCTTTGTGAGGTATTACGGATGGTTTGAGCTCGAGGGTATAGCCCAATTGATCCATTAATCTCTGTAAGACCTCAGCAAATTTCAAAGGTTTTGTCTCGGGAACAACTGTGCTGAAGAAGAATCAGTGAGAATAACAATTAAGATAAAAGAAAATACCGAGTATAAGTTCACAAAATGACTCGCATGAAGTAAAATACTTACGGGGCTTATCTGCAGATGGAAAAGCATTATTCCTACCAATGGCGAAAGTAAGACCGCTNTGACGACNAGGAGGNCTTGTCGATTGTGATCCNGNNTCGTTNTTGTCAACNTCAGGAAGAANNATTCNATCCATTAAAGAGCAGAAGTTTTCAACTTGGTAGTGAATGTTCTCTTGAACTTGCTTCTGTTGGTCAGATAAAGAGGTTTTACCAGCCATTTCAATTATGTCTTCTGCATCTGTCTCCTCAGCTTCTCGTCCCAACCGATTATAACTAAACATAATTGGTTTTCATGAGCGCAAAAAGTGGATGTATTTACAAGAACTGACAACTATTAAGAGCTAACTAAAACTGAATTAAGAACAACTAAGTACGATGACAGCAGTAGCGCAATGATAATAAGCAAGCGATTCACAAATCCATACAGAAATCAAACTTTTATTTTTCAGAGACAAATAACCAACCTTGTATACATAAACAGTTTGTTGATGTCTGCTTCAAATTGTAGTTGCCTAGGGTTCTTAGCAAATGTGGTACTCTTGGCAAGAACTCCAACAGCCTGGAAAATGAATAGTGATGACACAAATTTAAATCGAGCAGTGAAGAAAAGAAGAAAGAACAATAGCAACAAGGAAGATAATACGA